TTATGTTTAGCATTCCAACTCGCATACTCGTACATTCAATGTACTGATGCCATTTGGCTTGCATCATTTTATGATGCAGACACAGGTAACCATGATCAGTATCCAGCGCCTCGTTGATCCAGTTGAGCACTCAGAGTCAGTTGGTGAGCCTCCTTGCTTTCCAGAGGGCTACTTTTACATTGATTTAGTAATTTAGTTGTTAGGATGATCGGGGGTCTTGTCCCAACATCCCTTCTTATTTTATTGAGCACTCAGAGTCAGTTGGTGAGCCTCCTTGCTTTCCAGAGGGCTACTTTTACATTGATTTAGTAATTTAGTTGTTAGGATGATCGGGGGTCTTGTCCCAACATCCCTTCTTATTTTATAGGCTTCATAGATAGTTAGTAGTTCAGTTGTCTTTACATTTTTATTTCTTATGTTAAGAATTGAGTTGCCATCTATGGTTAGTTGAATGTTTTATCCTTTAACATCATGAGTTTAATTTGAGACAGTTGTTTTATAAGTACATTTGATCATTGTAATAATGCTTAGAGTCTTCCGCTGAGAGTCTAGCGAGGCCAAGGGTTCGCTTAGGGACAAAAATGGTTCTCGAGTGCTAGTCTAGCCCAGGGTGTAGGCTTGGGGCGTGACAAACTTATAGCCTTTTATAATCTCGTAAATTCTAATCATAATATGTACAATAGCTAAAGAATTTTGTGATTCAATCCCTAAACCAAAATGTGGTTTACGTTACATTAAGAATTACCTAACTTTAAAATTGATTCCCAATTTTAGGTCCCAAGAAGAAAATGTTCTCTGGGTCGAAAGCTTCTCTATCGATGAAGTTTTTTGAATGAGATAAACATGACTAGATTTCAAACAAGTATATCTCCTAAAATATAAAAAGTTATGTGTGCCATAACATATCAAATTAAATATATTTGAATCTAGTTTTCAAAGCAATAAATTATTCTTCAATAGGATATTTTTACACAAAGTTATGCCCATTTTACTAGAGGCTGTCTTGCTGTGCCCAACTACCCAAGCTGCCAACTGTGTGATAGCACACCCAAAGACAGTGGCTACTGCCTTGATATGCACTAACTAAGCATCCAAGATGTGTTCTGTGTGATAGCGCACATCAGTAAAGTTATAATAACCCCTAAAGACGTGGTTCAACTCCCAAGTTCAAAAATTTATTCTAGAAAGAGAAGTTTTCAAGAAATTAACTCACTCCCTCCAAGGTTCATCTTTCATCCAAGATAAGATTTGACCATAAATATTGATGATTTATTCATCTTATCACCAATTGACAACTTCTACTCATGAAATCTATAGGTTTTCAAGAAAATTCACCTGTAGGATTCAAGAAAAAGTTTTTGATATCTTTTCCTCCAAAGATCATACCTTTCTCAATAATCTAGAGTGTTTAAGGTATGTAAGGTTGTCTCCATGTCTGGGGTCATCTTGTTCTTCCCCACGAACTATATTTTCATGTTTTCATAGTATCTGCCATGAATGAGTTGGGATTTGAAAGAAACTCTATGTTCTTGAATTATTCTCGATTCTTTATGAAACCCCAAGTACCCTCCATAAAAACATCATATTTCACATGAAGATTCTTACTCCCATGAGTTTACAAGATTTCCTTCGTGAAATTATGAATAATTATGGATATAGCGGTTTGTATTTTGAAAACTAAGTCTAATGAATTTTTAGTAACTTCTTAATTCTCGTGTTATAAACCCTAGAATTATGAACTATGAAATTCCCCAAATGTAAATCTTATGATGCTATCATATATTTCCTTGACTACATTATTATGATAGAATATATGTCTCTCAAGAATGTAAAGTTATAATTATTGTAACCTCATGATATAAAGATATGAACAAAATATATAAACTATTGTCCTTGAAAGTTATGAATATGGGCCTTCGGGCTAATCCATGAACACATGAGTTTAAGAGAGCTAAATGATTAATCGAAAAGGCAAAAGTCTAAATGATGAATGCATGAAATCACGTCTATTAATGTAGGTTAAGGATCGTACAATTGGTTTGTATAACTACTTCTTTTATGTCCCTAGTAAGAGCTAGTTATGGATCTACATGACATGTACACGCATGTCTCATACCCAACAAGGTATGAGAGGACTTAGGTGATCGAACTGAGATTAGACTACATTCATTCATATGGTGGTTTATGTTGAATACACTATTATACTCCCATAATGAAATAGTATGATGATAGAAGCACCCCTAAGGAAGTCCAAATGAACTCATCTCTTAACCTTCATATGTTACGATTATGACTATGTTAGTTTGTACTGATCTTGATATGTACGACTATGTTTTATTTTGCTATTTGACATATAATACTTTTTCACATGTATTTAAGTTCTTTTTGTTGGGGCTGTTTCATCAATTTAATTGATGCAGGATTAGATACTCAAACACGTGACAAGCCGCTCATTAGGTTTCATATCTTTTGAATTCCTAATATTATTGTGTATGATTTGTTCATTGCAACATTGTAAGTCTAGCTAGAGAATATAAAATGTAACATTAATTAACTCAGTGTTTACTGTATCTGATAATTGATTAAGGATAAAGTCTTGGACAAGGGCTAGCACTGGTTTTGTCACAAATATTAATTATCAAAATATTATGATGAAGAATGTTGACAATCCAATCATCATTGATCAAAACTATTGCCCCAACAACCAAGGCTATCCTAGCCAGGTAACTCCTATATTTTAAAAAAATTCCAACTATAACAATATACCCATTGTAATCTCACATATTAAATGCAAGATAGATAGAGTATACATATACATTATTTTTATCTAATCAAGGTACACAAAAATTCAAAAAACTTCGGACTCAAATAACACATAAAAATAGTGTAAAAATAAATAAGACATAACAAACAATAGGAAAAGCGTTACATAACATTCAATAAACAAATACTAGTAACAATAGCCAAATAACGTGATAATCAAAGCAGAAAAATAACAATGAAACATAAATCATAGGATAAGAAACTATAAGAATAATATTGTCACAACCCTGGTCGTCGCGATTGGCACCCACACTAACCCTTCAGTGGGAGAACTATTACTACAACCCAACTAAGCAATGAACATAAAACTAAGCATTTAAAGATACAGAAGCAAGTTTAAATGACTAAATAAAATACGGAGTTCCCATAAACTCTGAGGGTCTAACAAAACAACTATTGAGGAAATTGAATACCTAGAACTGAAAGTCATTGTACCAAAACTCTACCAATAAACAAGTCTAAGAAAGTGGGGTGCAACCCCGAAAACTAGATATAAGTAAAAGTCTAAACATGTAGTTTAAGTCCAAAAATAAAGAACTAAACAAGTGACGGATCCATGGCAGCCTGAAAGAATTGGCTCACATTTGAATCCGGTCGTGGTCAATAATCTCCTAACTGAGGTATGTCAGTAGCAGCCTGAAGATTCCCTGTACTAAACAAAGAAAGAACAAGTGCAATATCAGTACATGAAACCTATATTCATTATATGACAAATTTGAAAAAAAAGGAATATCATAAAGCATGGAGGAAGAATGACTACAAATGCAATGGAAAGAGAGATAAATAGAAACATTCATCTACTGATTGTTTGTAGATATCCCTGGCTTATTAATGTGCCCAAGTCCTGACCTCATATTGTTCAATTCTTGGAATCATATACCCCTATCATTTCTTGCAAAGTTATTAGATGGATATGCCCTATTGCAGGAAGTTATAAGTGCAACACTGGTGGTTCTAGTAAATACAATAGTCAATGTAGTTCAAAGGCTTTTTGTGTAAGAGATAGCCAAGGAAGTTTGGTTTTTGTTGAAGCTGAAAGAATTGAGTTTTGTGATGCTTTAGAAGCTGAAGTTACAACATTCAAGAATGGATTGAATCACTGTGTACAAAATAATCTACTGCCTCTTGTGATGGAAACAAATTCATTGATTATCAAAAGGATATTAGATGGTGATTGGGAAATTCCATGGAATATTTCAGTGCATATTAGATATGTTCAAGAGATATTAAAGGAGAAGGGGGTGGTGGTTGCACACATCTTGAGGGAAGGAAATACACTGGCAGCAGTGTGTATGGTTTTGCAGGTACAAAATCCAATTTTCCTCGAATGAAGAGTTACCAATTCAAACGTGAACAAGCAAGGCAAATCAAATCTCAGAACAAAGAAATATCAACACATAAATCATGAATTAAGGTAATTGATTCATATGAACAAAACAACAACTAATCCACATAAGGGTTACATAACAGAAAATGGACTGATCAATCTTAGGAAAGTGTAATATATGGAACTACAAACGCTTATCGACCAAGATTGGAAAATACCTGGGACAACCTTAAATTTGATGTAGTGGTATTAGTTCCTAGAGCTCAATCGGCACGATTTAAGGATGGATCAGTGTATTTCTTCTGATTAAGGTTGACTCAGATATCAATAGAGGGATTGGTCCTTACCTTGAAGTAAGAAGATGACAACACTATCGAACTGAAGAAGTCTTCAGCGTGTTTGGATTCATGGTGCTCGTGAGATCTTTGAACACCCAAATGAATACCACTCAAGTTCAATGCAGTTCTACCATGCTTGCTTCAAAGAGTGACGAATTTTGGAGCTCCAATGGAAGACCTTTGATGCTATGGAAGGATGCAATTCCGACAACCCAGTACTGTTTGTTTCTTGTTTTCGATCTGGGCTTGAGTCACTTTTGGACTAAAGCCAATGTTTTCACTATTTTGTTTCAATAAATGGGGTTGCCCAGATTTAACTTAAAAAAAGTACACGAATCCAAGGTGTACTGGTAGGATCACGCGGCTACTCACGTAAGCCCAATATATACAAGCAATTGCAACATAGTAAGCACACATATACAGAATACATAGTTCAGTTATCATTTTAGGAGCAACATACAATTACTCAATATCAATAAACAGTAAAACATGAACATAATAATCAAGTGGTCCTTTCATGGAACCCTCACCCAAATTGTTACTGTGTCGGAACGTGACACCTGATCCAGTATACATGTGTTGGGACGTGACACCCGGTCCAATATACGTGTCGAAACATGACACCCAATTAGATATATGTGTCGGAACGTGACACCCGATCTAGTCAGCACAACCACAATCACAATCACCCATAATGAACAATACTCATAGTCATACAATCAAGTAACAGGTTCATGGCATGTATTGTTCACACATAACCATTTCATTAGATTTGATTCACATTTCCCTATTCACATACATGCACGCATACAATGAAGAAATTAACCGGCATATATCACACAACAGGAAATCAAATCATCACCTACCTTGAAACCAAGCCTGAATACTCCTAAGACACTTAAGCCTTCCCTTTCCGAAGTCTTTAAACTTGTTCTTGGTCTATAAACAAGTAATTAATGCAATGATCAATAAACAAGGCCTAATATACCCGGATAATGATCAAACTATCAATCCAAGGCCAAACCCAAGATCTTAATACTCAACTAGGGCTTTTTCCACCATTAAATTCAGGCCAAAACCCTCTCCCAATGATAATTACCAAATATTCTAATTTCTAGGAATTGAAATATGGATTAGGGGAGTAATTTCCTTACCTTTAGCGCTAGAAATCGTGGAAAACTGTCAAGAATCACCTGGGTCATCCCTTAGCTCTTAAGAACGAAGTGTTGCAGAAAATAACAAACTTGGGGTTTTTCTTCGTCTTAATTAGCGACTGGCCCACCACGGCGGACCCTATCCAGCCACAGTGGCTTGCACTGAGACAGAAGCTCAGAATTTGAGTTCCAAGCTCGCATTTCATAACACACCTTCAAACCGAAATGTTCTAAAACTACACTTTCACACTAAGATAAGTTTTGGGAGTTCTACTCTCCTGAATTTGATTTCGTAAAGCCGTACAGACTCCTTAACGTCTTGGCTATCCACTTATGTGATGAAATTCACAATTAGATCCCCCCTTCATTACCAGATTTCCCTAGACGTCACCTGACTCAGATTTCATCCAGGTCTGGCCTAGGCTAGAAATTTCCAAGTTACTACTCAGAAGTTTTTTGGCCCAAATTCCTTCTCTATTGGCTTTTCCATAACCACGAGAACGGTCATTACAATAGATACCGATTTACCCATCACTCGTTCTTGAGTGATAAACTAGGAAAATGGGCTAAGGCAATAGTAGAGTAGTACCTGAATCGTCGAATAACTTGGGATACTTGTCTCGTATGTCCTTCTCAGTTTCCAAGTAGCTTCCTTAACCAGAAGATGCTTCCATTGAACTTTAACGAACTCTATCTCCTTAGTCCTCAACTTTCGAACATCGTGATCAAGAATTGCAACCTGTTCCTCCTTATACTGAAGGTCTTTGTCTAACAAAATTGAGTCATATTTTATGATGTAGTCTCCGTTCCCATGATACTTCTTCAACATGGACACATGAAACACTGGATGGACTTCAGATAGGCTAGGCGGTAAAGCCAACCTATAAGGAACTGACCCTACACAGTCAAGAATCTCAAACGGCCCAATGTATCGAGGACTAAGCTTGCCCTTCTTGCCGAACTTCATCAGCCCTTTCATGGGTAACTCCTTTAGAAGAACTTGCTCACCAACCGAAAATTTCATGTCCCTTACCTTTCGGTCTGCATACTTATTCTGTCGACTCTGGGATGATAGAAGATTAGCTTGGATACTTCTCACCTTATCTTGAGTATCTTTCACTAAATTAACCCCCAAAGGTTTCACATCTCCAGCCTCAAACCACCCTATGAGTGATCTACATCTCCTCCCATAAAGTGCCTCAAACAGTGCCATGTCAATGCTGGAGTGGTAACTATTATTATAGGAGAACTTACACAATGATATGAACTTACCCCAATGCCCTCCAAAGTCAATCACACATGTCATTTACATGTCCTCTAACACTTGAATAATTCTCTCTAACTGCCTGTTCGTCTGTGGTTGGAAAGATGTTCTAAAAGTGAGTTGAGTGCCCAACTCCTCATGTAATTTTCCCTAAAACTTAGATGTGAATTGTGTACCACGGTCCGAGATGATGGAAAGAGGCACCCCATGCAGCCTCACTATCTCTTTCGCATAAACCTTAGCCAACTGCTGAGCATTATAGTTTACTCTGACTGGAATGAAGTGGGCTGACTTAGTCAGTCTGTTAACCACCACCCAAATGGAGTCAAACTTTCCCAAAGTCTTGGGAAAACTAATAATGAAATCCATAGCTATCCTTTCCCATTTCCATTTCAGGATTGGCATTCGTTGAAGCAAATCTGCAGGCCCTTGGTGCTCTTACTTTACTTGCTGACAGTTTTGGCACTTAGCCACAAACTCCGTTATGTCTTTCTTCATACCAGACCACCAATAAAGCCATTTCAAATCTCAGTGCATCTTGGTCACACCCGGATGAATAGAATACCGCGAACTATGGGATTCTGACAATATTTTCTGAATCAAGTCATCCACTTGGGGAACACAAATTATTCCCTTAAAACTGAGCACACCTCCCGCATCAAGAACCACATCTTGTGCCTTACCAGACATTGTCTTCTTTCTGAGCTCATTTAAACTCTCATCCTCAAACTGCTTGGCCTTGATCTCGTCAATGGAAGTGGGCCTGATCTCAATGCTAGCTAACACCCCACCTTTCTCTGAGATGCCCAATTGTATGAACTTAGATTCCAAAGTCTGAATCTCCTTGGCCAAAGGTTGCTTGGGGACACCAAAGCAAGGTAAACTACCCATACTTACCGTCTTTCGGCTTAGTGCGTCTGCCACCACATTCGCCTTACCCGAATGATACTGGATGGTAACATCATAATCCTTGAGTAACTCCATCCACATTCTCTGCCTCAAATTCAGGTCCTTCTGAGTGAATACATGATGTAGACTACGATGATCAGTAAACACCTTACACTTGACACTATGAGGGTAATGCCGCCAGATCTTGAGAGCAAACACTACCGCTGAAACCTCCAAGTCATGTGTCGGGTAATTTCTCTCATTCACCTTCAGTTGTCGCGACGCATAAGCTATGAAATTTCTTTCCTGCATCAACACATCACCCAAGCCCGAATGTGAAGCATCACAATAAACAATGAAATCTTCACCTTCCACTGGCAGTGTCAGAATATGTGTTGTGGTCAGAAGAGTCTTAAATTTATGGAAGCTCTTTTCACATTTGCAGTCCACTCGAAAGGCACTTCCTTTTAGTCAGCCTTGTCAAATGCGTGGCGAGAGAAGCAATAGTTTTCACAAATCGATAATAGTAGCTCGCAAGCCCCATAAAAACTCCTAACTTTAGTCGCAGAGCTACGCTGGACCCAATTCTCGACTGCTTCGATCTTTTGGGGATATACCATTACCCTTTCATTTGAAACCACATGCCCAAAAAAGGCAACTTAAGTTAACCAGAACTCACACTTGGAAAATTTTGCATACAACTTCTGTATTCCAAGGACACCCAAAACGATATGAAGATGGTTGGCATGCTATTCCTTTCTCTTCGAATAAACCAAGATGTCATCAATAAAGACGATAACAAAAGAATCCAGGAATGGTTTGAACACACCGTTCATTAAACTCTCGAAGGTTGCGGGGTATTAGTCAACCCAAACAACATCACTAAGAACTCATAATGTCCATAGCAGGTCCTGGATGTCGTTTTGGGTACATCCTCAAGCCTAATCTCTAACTTATGGTAACCATACCTTAGGTCAATCTTAGAGAAAATTGATGCACCCTGCAACTGGTTAAAACAATCATCTATCCGAGGCAATATATACTTATTTCGAATGGTGACCCTATTCAACTACCGATAGACTATGCACATCCTCATACTACCATCATTTTTCTTAACAAACAAGATGGGAGCACCCCACGGGGAGCCACTAGGACGGATGAAACTTTTATCAAGAAGATCATGTATTTGAGCTTTAAGCTCTCTTAATTCTGCCGGAGCCATGGAATAAAAAGGAATGGAGATGGGGCGAGTGTCCAGTTCCAAGTTAATGGAGAAATCTATATCCCTATCCGGAGGTATACCAGACAAATCGGTAGGAAACACTTCCTTGAATTCAGACACTACATGAATAGATTCAAT